CAATTGTCACATGATAATAGTGTGATTTAGAGGTCTTCAAGGAGATGGTCATCCAGTAACTCTTTCTTTTCAGCATCTCAACTGCCCCCTTTGGAAAATCAGGCAAAAGTTTTTATTGTTGTACTGGGATGTGTGTGTGTGTGTGTGTGTGTGTGTGTGTGTGTGTGTGTGTCTGTCTGTCTGTCTGTCTGTCTGTCTGCTTGCCTTGCTGCCTATCTCTCTGTCTGGGTAAATCCTCATGTAGATTTCAAAAATGTTCAGAAATATTCAACTGCTTCCATAGGATTGTGACCACACTGAAATATTTTGTTTGGGTTCCTCCAAATGAAGTCTACAATGGGAGGGAAAACTAAATAATTTTATAGGTAGTCAAGGCTGAAGCTCATTCTGCTCAGCCCAAAGCCCTTGTGTTCCAAAGTGAGCCAAAAGGCACAGAGGCCATTCCAAGCTGCCACTTTCCAAACTTAACAAATCACAGCTTTAAAAACTTCTATGCTATGCTCTGAAACATGGTGGGAAAATGAGGTAACGTCATGTTTGGTTTGGGGAGTTTTAGAGGCTTTGTTTTAGGGAATTCTCTCCTTTTTATGTCTTCCACATTGTGTGTGTCCAGCTCTTTGGTGAGTTGTCCTCATTACAAAGAGCTTGAAGCCCCTGCTCTTTCAGCACAGATCAGATTGCATGCACTGCCCAGCAGAGCTCAGCCAGCCGGTGGAAATCTGACCTAGTGAAACTCCAGCCTGGAACTGGATTGCTGTGAACAGTCACTTCAAATAGCCACCACTACCTACATCTGCCGCCTGAGGTTTTTTTCTGGTACTTTCTTTAGTTGTTTTCAAAAGCCATTTTCTCTGGTTGCTTTCCCATAGAAATATTTCCATGTATTTCTTTGTAATGCACAATTGGATCAAGATGTACCCATATGCTTGGGACTTGTGTGGGATCAGGTCAATCCCATTCAGTTCTGAACCATCTAAGAGGGAAATAATGAACTTGTAGCCAATGGAAATTAGCCAATATATTCTTATTATCTAATATGGAGAGCATATACATGCATATGTGTGTATATGTAATATGTATATAGGTCTACTGAAAAACATAGTTCATACCACTAGGAAATAAATATTAGTACTTTTTATATTGTTTAATTTTTATACACCAGGAAATATTGTAGTAGTTCAGTTTTATTTCACAATTTACAATGAAAACTTATTTTTTAAGTGTGCCAAGCATAATTTTTCTAACTTCATGTCTAACTGTGAAAAAAAAGAAGGATAGTCATATTCTGCTTGAAGGAGCATCTTGATCCAGTTTCAAGCAGTGTGGTAGACTAAGCGTTCACAGAAAACCTTTCCAACAGAGTCCATGAAAAATACTGAATAACTCTGAAGAGGAAAATAAAAAAAGGTCTCATGCTTTTAACTGCTTGGTTGGGCCTGCTGGCAAAGTTAAGACTAGTTCAGGGGCAGAAGTAACAAAGGCAGTGAGAAAATGAGCAGGAAGGCCGGGCAGTGCAAGTACTGTGGGACAGGTGTGGAGAGCTAAGGGAGCCTGGGCTTGGGACTAAACAGGGAGTGAGATTAGTCTGGAGATGCCCTACCACCAAAAGAAAAATCCATCCCTGTTCATGCTTAGGGAGAAATCTTGAGCTTCAGAGTTCTCAAGAGTGTCTTCATCTCAGCTGATGAGGTTGGAAAGATGGGAGGGAAGTCTTGAGAATGGATAGCCATAACCATATGCTTACCACCTGTGAGGGCGAGAACTCAGCGGCTGTGTGACGCTGGATAGGCTCTCCTGTCAGAAATGTAAACAACCACAGAAAGCTGTGTGTGTTCCCATTCATGTGAAGTATTTGGTGTTCAGATTCATGGAGAGGGAAAGTGGAACAGGGGAGACAGTGTCCTGAACACAACTGAACTGAATGCTTCAAATATTTAAGATGATAAATCTTATGTTACATGTATTTTATCATAATAAATAAAAAGAAAATATATTTAAATTTAACTTAAATTTGGCATAAGCTGAGAGTGGCACCCAACTGCCTGCCAGAAACAATCAAAACAAACAAACAATAATAAAAGCAAAATAACCCAGTAAAAGCAAGGCAGAAGGACCAAGAATGGAAGCGCACACCTGCAGTCTAACGCTTGGAAGGCCCAGGTGGGCGGGTCTGAGTTCTGAAGTCAGCCTGAGCTACACAGCAAGATTCTGTCTGGAAAATAAACAAACAAACAAATACACACATAAGAAGAAGAAGAAGAAGGAGAAGAAGAAGAAGAAGAAGAAGAAGAAGAAGAAGAAGAAGAAGAAGAAGAAGAAGAAGAAGAAGAAGAAGAAGAAGAAGAAAAATAATTCACTTGTCATTTCAAGGAGGGTGAGATATGCTCATAGTAAAACATTTTTGCTTTATGACACATGGAAACACTTCCTAGGAAGGACCCATCTATAGTGAGTCAATAGCGAACCACGCCAATAAAAAAAAAAAAAAAGACAGTTGTGTTAATCAGTTATAAGAGAGAGCCTGCATGCTTAATTTTATTGAGACAGTATGTTGCTATGTGGCCCTGGCTAGCCTACAACTTATTGTGTAGATCAGGCTGTCCATGAATATATGGAGATCCACCTGCCTCTGCTAAGATTGAACGCACACACCACCTACCTGGCTTTATGCTTATTATCATTTTTTTCCCCAAGGAGAAACTGAAAATGTGTTGAAAGCAATAACATATCTTAAATTAAACCACACTGATTTGAAAAGTAATGAAGTGGAATTTAATAAGAAAACTTTATGTTAATACTATAAGCAAAACACCCAAAGAGAGATGGATTCTGCTGGAAAGACCGTAGTGAAGAGATGAAACTGAAGAAATTACAACTCAAAGAAAGAAGTGGAGAAACAATGAGAGAGACGTTCAGGGATAAGAAGGACAGGTGTGAAGGTCCTGCTGGAATCGGGCAGGAGGTATGCTATGGACAATAAGCAATAAACAATATTTGAAGAGCTAATGATGGAGCTTTTCCGAAGTAATGGAAGATACATCTTTAAATCAGGAATTTCAAGGACTTTTAAGTGCACAATAACAAAGACACAATGGAGGGGCAGTGGTGGGTGGATCTCTGAGTTTGAGGCAGCCTGGTCTATAAAGCTAGTTCCAGGACAGCCAGGACTACACAGACAAACCTTCTCTCAAAAAACCCAAAACCACATCAACCAACCAACCAACCACACAAACAAAAACCATAATGAGCCAAGTCATAGCAAAAACATAGAATACTAAAAACAATGGCCTTAAAAGATTTTGTCAATCAAGCAAAAGGAAAAGTTAAAAAGAGACGATCACTGAAGGACTTAGGGAAGTAACTTGCAAATAGAATCTCTGTTGAAGATAATTGAGTCTATCATATTATCCATAACAAAAAACAGAATAATGGTATTTTCAGACAAACAAAAGCTAAACATTATAACACAGATATTTACTGAAGGAATTAAAAATAATGTCCTTGGGAGGAGGTGTTGGAGGGGAGATTGAGGGATGGATATGATCAAGATTGGGTATAGACATGCATGAAATTTCCAAAGGAGAAATACAAATATTTAAAAAGAGGTAGAATTATATTATGAATCTTGTCAATTTGATGCTCATTTTAATACAGTTAACCTAAAGGTTTAGGATAAGCATTGGCAACATTGTTACATGTTTGTGTATTAACAGCAGCCAAACATCATTTTACGTGTGACATGTAGTAAGTTGAGTGGCACACTCTGAAAACACATGTCTGTTTTAACCCTAGGAATCTCTGGTCTTTTTTGAGAAAAGGGGTTTTGCAGATTATAATTAAGGATCTTTACTCTAGCTCATTCAATAGCAAATGTCCTTAGAAATGGAAGAGAAGACAGACCTAAACCCAAGGTCCTGGGAAGGCAGAGGCAGAAACTAGCTACGAAGCCACAAGCCGAAGAACGACAAGGTCTGACAGACAATGGAATAAGCGAGTGAGGGTTCCCCCTTAAGCCTCTGAGCTTCCATAGTCTTTGTAACACTTGGATTTCAGACTTTCACATTTAGAAGCATGAGGGAGTTAATTTTCTACCGTTTTGGGTTGGTTAATGTGCTGTAATTGTTACAGCAGCCATAGATTCTAATATGCCGATATCAGAAATACCATATTTACCATTATCTTAATAATTTCAGTTTCCAAAATTCAGGTGTGAACCAAAAAAAGGTAGCAGAAACATAAGACCTACATTTTTGGTTTTCCTTTCAGGGTGAAACCATTTGTTTTCTCTTTATTTTTATTTATAGATGGATTTATCACCCCACTTGTTGGCAAATACTGAACAGGTATAATTGGCACATGCATGATATCGTAAGAAAAAGAAATGAAGCCCACAGTAGTAACCTGTGCTGAAGTGTTATGGAAAAGAAGAAAGTACTGTACAAAATGTCTCAGACAGAATGTGACACAAAAGAGGGAAGAGGATTACATACACATAGATATGGTTTCCTCCTTCCTTCCTTCCTTCCTTCCTTCCTTCCTTCCTTCCTTCCTTTCCTTTTATTTTTCTTTCTTTCTTTTTTTTCTTTTGAGACAGGGCTTCTCTGTGTGGCTTTGAAGTTTGTCTTGGAACTTGCTCTTTTAGACCAGGCTGGTCTCGAACTCACAGAGATCCACCTGTCTCTGCCTCCCGAGTGCTGGGATTAAAGACGTGCACCACCAACGCCTGACTTTGCGCACAGGTTTTAATTTCTGCTCACTATAAGCCTTCATAAATCCTGCTTTCCAGGAACTGTGGGTATAATCAGTGGTAGAGTGTGTGACAGCTATGTGTGTGAAGCCCTATGCTTGATATTCAGAATTGAAAAAAAAAATCACCCTCCAGGTAGCCCCTGCATCTTCTTATGTGATTCGCATTTCATTCATCTCATCCCTGCCTTTTCTTCTTGATAACCCCTTAGCTGCTCAGTGGTTTACAGCGATTTGTAAGGTACCCCGCTTACCTGTCAAGGTGGGACATAACTGTTTTAGAGATGTCTGCACCTGCTTCTTGCAATATGTGGATGATTTGAAAGGGTGCAGCTGGGCTCCTTCCAGGATGGATGATGACAGGACAACCAAGCTGAGCCTGGGCATGAGCTGTAGCCTGAAGTACCTTTCTCTCACTGTCCGTCAAAGGCCAGGAGCAGCCAATTTCTCCAATAACTCCACACTTGATGGTCGTTCCATCAGTTCCATGGAGAATTTCATTAATAAGGACATCTGTAAGCTGAGGGAGAGTATGAATGAGCCCATCCTATAGATTGTGAAATACATCCAAATAAACTCATACTATACAATGGAAATTTACTTAGGAACGTAGTCTTCTAAAACTGTATGCAGAGCCAGCAGGCAGAGAGGATGGCTCAGTGAGTAAGGAGTGTGCCTCACCATCATGAAGACCTATGTTCCACCCCCCCCCAGAACTCACATAAGAATGCTGGGAGTGTGGTGCCTTCTTGTGACCCCAGCACTGGGAAGACAGAGACAGATGGATGCCAAAGGCTCACTGGCCAGCTGCTCTAGTGCAATATCAATGGGAAACCCCATCTCAAAGGAGATATACAGTTTTCCTAAGGATGGCATCTGAGGTTGTTCTCCAGCTTCCAAACAACCCATCCCCTGCCATGCCCTGAGATATATTAACACCTTTCTTTCTTTCATTCTTTCTTCCTTCCTTCTTCCTTGCTTCCTTCTTTCTTTCCTTTCTTCTCCTTCCTTCCCCCTCACACATACAAAGCTCAACCTTCATTTAGTGAGTACTGGCTAATGAACCACCCATTTTTGGCTAATTTACAAATTCAATAAGTTATTCTAAGTATCTTACTGAGACTATTTGAGAAACCCATCACTTAAAGATGCTGTAGGAACAAGGAGGAAGACGGTGTGTTCAGACTGAAAAGGGGGGTCTTTATTTCAATATGGGTACAGCATCTATGGATGCCATTGAATCTGTCAACTCTATCCAGTAATTCTTTAATTCTCTCCTTCATTTGGCCTAGAAAATTCACAGCACAGAATATCCACATTACTTAGTTTGACAAGTACATAATTCTTGTCATTATTTCAGTCTTTAATGTAAGTGCATACATTTAAAAGTTTATTGGAACATAATGCCGATGAAAATGTAAAACAAATCATTTTAAGTACTAACAGGTATTTCAACAAGAATTTACCTGACAGTCTGTAACTGTGAAACAGGCTATGGGAAATATACAGGGATACATACTGAATATAAACACATGTAAATTGACATGTGTGTTTAACAAGAGAATGCACACATGTGCAACAGAGCCCTGCAAGCCTAGCTTCCTTCTGCCAATTCTTACTTAATATTATAAACAAGAGAATAGCCCTTCCTCCCAGCTTGTAATAAGAGAAGAAGCTGTATTTGCAAACATACCAAGTCTCTGCCTGCCAGGTCTCACCCTACTGTGAATTTTCATTGCTGGTTATTATAAAACCCGAGGGGAAAGCTGAAGCTTATGATGGGAAAATAAGGTTTACAAACAGACTGAAGAGGAACCACTGAGCTCTGATAGAATTTGTACAAACTAAGCATTAACACATTGGAACTGTCAAGGACCCAAGTGTTGAGAGTTCCTTCCTCAACGCTCGGAAGGCACGGAATCTCACTAATTTGGGTCCTAGTTGGCAGCTGTCTTTCTGAACTAGCTTTTTTTTTTTTGTCACATATCCAGTTACTTCTGAGCCAATGGCATTTCCAAGATTAAGACTGTCCTGAATCTATAAGCAAACAATGTCATAAGTAGTACTTCTTACCTGCTCCACTGACATGGCCCTGGTTGCTGCTGAGTGAGTTGCATCGACATAAAATCCAGCTCCAGCTATGATATGGACTCCAGTTTGCTCTGCTAGCCACTTCAGTGTTTGCACATCCCTGCTGAGCCCAGCTGTTGTGTTCTCCACCAAGGCGCCTCCACCCTTAGCCTTGAAATATATCAGCTCTTCCTTTATGGCTTCTGTCTCCTGATTCAACTGAAGGTTCTCCTGATGGGAATAAGGATTTTTCTGAATCCAAAATAAATTTTTCAGCATGATAGGTTCCTTGGAGGTAGCTTCATGGCATGGAGGAGGTGGGTAGTAAAAATTGTCAAAGTTCATTGTTAAATGTTCATGGGTCAAGGTGCGTCCCAGTTTGCTTGGTTCTACAAGGCCCAAAACGGTTTGCACTTTTCCACTTAAGGAAGACATTTCTGGAAGTGGCAAAGGATTTGCCCTGAAGAGGAAATAGAAAACAGAATTAGAGCATATAACACAAACATGCAATCCACCTGTAGAGGGCAGAGTCGTGAATGTGCCAGTCTGGAGAATCAATGAAACTAGAGATATGACCTCATTTGTCATCTGCCTCAAGGGAGATGCATAGACAAGATATTCCCAGTGGCTTCCACCAGGTCTCCTCTGATGGAACAATTCCAAATTTATTTACTGGAAAAATTTCTTGATATTCAGTTCACATTTATATTTTACTTATTTTTGTCCCAGTTATAACTACGTTTCTTGGGTACTTCAACAAAAGCCATTCTCCTTCATAATCGATAACTTCCATTAACACTAGTCATTTGTTAATATTATCTCATCACTTTTCACCCAAATGAAACATACAGAGGCTTCTACTCATGGTGCTACTCATTTGTTACTGAAATAAATGAACTACTGTTGGAGACTTGCTATGTGTCAGAAATATAACATGAAATCCCTAACCCTCATGGCTTCATTGGGGGATGACCTCAAAATGATCGGGGGAGGAAGAAATGCATAACTAGTTTTTTTTTTAATGTCAAAAAGAAACCATTTCACTTTTAAGAGTTTATCATCTAGTGCACACAGAAAGTAATCCTTCAAAATGCTTAGAAATAAATTATCATTGTTATAACGAAAGTGACTACAATGCTATTGGTGATGTTTAGAAGTTAAATGTCAACTTGAACCAATTGGAAAGGAAGTCTCAGTGCAAAATTGTCTACACTGGGTTAGTCTCTGTGTGTGTGTTGTAGGGAATTATCTTAATTGAATTAATTGGCATGATAAGACCCAGCCGAGTGGCAACATTGATTCCCCAGGCAGGGGATCCTGAACTGTATCAGAGTATAGAAATTGAATTGAACACAAGGAAGCAAGCAATTGTATACGTGTTCATTTCTCTTTGCTCTCGACTGGGTGCGATGTGACCAACTGTCTCAGCACCCACCTCTGTGACGTCTCTGCAGTGATGGACTATCACCTGGAATCAGGGCTAGAAGAAACCTTTCCTCCCCCAAGTTGCTTTGTATCAGTGTATTTTATCACAGCAACAGACATGAAGCTAGAACACTGCTGAAACAGAAATCAGCTGCTATCTCTAAAAAAGCAAAGACCACTTTGTCTCCTACACAGTTTACTTTCAGACACAGATTAAGTGCTCACCTACATTTCTTTCAGTGACAATGACAAAGAATTCCTATTTCAGCACTCCCATGTTCAATGTATATCCCTAACAGAAGGGACTGGGATGGACAGAAGGGATGAAGAAGAAGATGACAGGAACCTGGTGAACAGGTACCCATAGCTGAGGGCAGGGCCACTGTGGCATTACCAGAAGTGAAACTCCACCCAGAGGACCAGCCAGAAATGCTCACAGGACCAGAAGAAACAGGCTGGGAACTGATAACAGAATAGCTTTCAAAGTGTTCCTACAATAAATATTATAAAATTATTTCCCCCCATATCTTTGGAAGTCTTCTCTGTATATGTGAAGTTGGTGCCTAAGTTTGAGCCTATTTATGTGGAGGTCAGAGGTCAACCTCAGGTGACATTCTTCTGAAGCCATCCACCATGTTTTTAGAGACAGGATCTCTCCTTGGCCTAGAGCTCACAAAGAAGGCTAGAGAGCAAGCTCCAGTAATCTACCCATGACTGAACCTAATTATGGCATTACTAATGCCTACTAAAACACCCAGGTGGGTTCAGGGGATTGCACTTAGGTCCTCATACCTACAAGGAAAGCACTTAACCCACAGAAGCATCTTCTAGCTCCATTCTATCATTTTCTGAGAGTCTTGTTTCTCACAAGTAAATTAGAGTCTCTACATTGCATAAGAATCACATTGAGAAGGAATTAAGTCAAACTCGATAGGAAACTATATATAAAACACTGGTAAAAATGACACATGGTTGGTAATTAGTGAAGGGTATCATTATTTTGCACTTTGAGTATTACTTTTCTCTGTAAGAGAAAAGTTACAGACCTGGATGTGGGCTTGGGGGCAAGAGCTGAGAGTAGTTGGGGAAAAGGAAACTATAATCAGAATATATTGTATGAAAAAAATGTAATAAAAGAAAAGAAACTTCAAAAAATGTAATGGGTACAGTACAGAGTTTGAAAACAAAGTCAGAGATCAGGGGAAAAGGTTTACAAACTATAGGTCAATTTTTATTCAGTCACTTCAATGACCTTGAACTTGGATGTTTGGGAAGATTTACTGACAGTTATCAGTGACTGATTTATACTTTTCATGGAGAACTTCAGGGTTGTAACCAATGTGACCAATGAGTTTTGTTTGACAGTGCTTTTGGGCAAACCATGTTTCCAACATTAGACTGCACTCATGGAGGTCATGAGGAACACATGGTATTTACTCAGCCAATCACCATTCATTTGCAAGTCCCCACATAGGTAATATTTTCTTGATGGTCTCTCTGTTCAGAAGAGAGATGCATAGGAGGTGGTGTGATTATAGACTGGAACTTACTGTTCAAAGCATTATTCTTTGGTACTAAAAATAAACAATGTGTAGTTACTTCTTTGGTTGATGAGATCGCACTATTAATAATAGATTCAATCCCTCTACATGTGTTAACTTTCTGTTTCTTTCCTTCTGGATGATAGCATTACAGATGTGTTTGGGAGAGTCATGAGTGGGGGCAGAAATTAGGATGCATTGATAAAACACCACCATGTCTACTAGAAAAGTACCGAACTACATAATTAATTGATGCGTGATGCGTATTTGAAAGAGAAACATGGTATGCTTCAAGCTTACAAGCTGTGAGTCTTTGCTAAAAAAAAAAAAAAAAAAAAAAAAAAAAAAAGCTTAAGAAATGTCATCCCCTCTGGGAAACTCCTCTAATGCTCTCAAACAGAGCTGGCTGGTTCTTCCGTGATTACATACAATGGCACGCACACACACAGAGGATAAGAAAAGATTAAGGAACAAAATGCAGGCAACACTGCTTTAAGCGACAAGGCATCTCTGAGTGGAGCAAGGCGCAGACAAGGAATTCACATTCCAGTGTGGCTAAGGAGCCCATTTCTGCCTGTGTTCTGTCTGGAGGTCACTGCCAGCACACAGGCAGATCATGATCTCCCATCACAAGGATGAGCACTTGTTTCACCAGGAATGACAAGTAAAGGATGAGGGTGACAGTGCCCACATCAGTGGGCAGAGGGGGGTGCCCACCCACACAAAAGGAGGCACCCAGTGTTTTCCAGAGCCCCCCCACAGAAAGTTTCCACATTATATGCACCTGCACTGAAAAAGGATAGCTGGATCCATAAACACATTTGACAAAAGCTTGGTTCCATGTCAACTGTGAAATATGAATAATGTATAAAAGGATAGTCTGCAAGTATTACAATAGCCCAGGCAGAACCAACTGCCTATTGGTAGTTAATACTGCCTCAACTTGACAGGATCTAGAATCATGGAAGGGAAAAGCTTCCAGGCATGTGTCTGAAGGACTACCTAAATCAGTTGAACTGAGTTGAGAAGCCCACACCAAAATGTGGGCAGAGGCAAGCCATGGGCTGGGATACCACAGAGCATAGAGGAGAGCTAGCTGAACACCATCATTCATCTCTCTCTGCTTCTCTGCTGTTGGTGTGGTCTGACCAGACACAGTCCCAGTGCTTCTGCATTGATGGATGGTATCATTCTAACCCCAAATAAATCCTTCCTTCTTCAGATTGCTTTGTCTGAACAATAAGACAAGTAACTAACACATAACCATTCTAACCTCCTTCCTTCCCTCCCTCCCTTCTCCTTCCTCCCTCCCCTCTTCCTCCCTCCCTCCCTATCTCCCTCCTTCCCTATCTCCCTCCCTCCCTCCCTCCCTCCCTCCCTCCCTCCCTTCCTTCCTTCCTTCCTTCCTTCCTTCCTTCCTTCCTTCCTTTCTTCCTTTCTTTCTATTTTTCAAGAGAGCATTTCTCTGTGTAGCTCAGTAGACCAGGCTGGCCTCAAGCTCACAGAGATCTGCCTGCCTCTGCCTCCTGTACCACTGCTGCCCAGTTCCCCTCTAATCTTTCTTAAAATTTGTTTCTGTTTTATGAGACCAAGTATCACTTGGTCTCATAAAGAGCAACATGGTATGTTTCAAGCTAGCAAAATGCTATCTTGAACTCTTGGTGATTCTCCTGCCTCAGACTCCTAAGTCCTGGAAATACAGGTGTGAGCCACTATGTCTGTCAACCCTTATAGTCTTGCTGTTCCTTGAATAAAAACAGAACATTGACAAGAAAAGGAAGACAAGAAGGAAGTGAATGGAACAACACTGCCATACCACAGCCGAAATCAGATAGTGTGATTTGATTACTTACAAACACATGCATATTACTAACTTTTATAAAATATATTTAAAAAATGCTTCATGGCATAAGATCTGGTGGGGAGGAATAAGTCTGGATATAACTTTGGTTATGACATTTATTTTGGTCTGGCTATTATGTTTAAGCATATTCTGTCTAAGTTGAATATCATTTTCAGTTATGGTCATGGTTAATTTATCAACTTAAGTTGACTTCCATGCACCTAGGATATTGGTAAATCACACACTTGGTTGTGTCTGTGAGGATGTTTCAGAAACAATTACATCATAAAGGCACTGATCCAGTGAGCAGATTAAGCCCTGAAGGATTCATAAATGGTGTCACTTGGGGGAGTTGGTAGGGGTGGGGCCGACATTAAAGAAGGCTACGGTTAATGTCCTTAGAAGTCATAGCTTACCCCGCCCCCTTCCCACAGCTCTTTCCCTCTGCTTCCTGACCACAAAATATGAACAATCTCCTCTAGAACATTTTCCCTCAGCCATGTTGGTCAGCACTTCCAAATCAAGACTCCCAGGAACTATGTGGATTGAACTCTCTGAAACAATGCATCAAAAGAAATGTTTCCCTTTCCCCGTTTAGCAATTCATGTCATATTTTGCCACATTGGCCAGAAAAGTAACTGACAC